CTAGGCTGTCACTCGAGAGAGCACTGATTCTAGGTGACAAAATTCATTCTCTGCTGAAGACCATCCTCAGTTTGGTTCAAGTAAATGGTTCTCCTACTTAGTGTTCTTCAACTTTCCCAAAGTAAGAGCTTGGAAACCTTATGGCTTACATTTCACCTCCCTTTGCTATCAAAACATCTTTTCCCTAAATTCCTTTTCCTTTGCTTTGAACTCTTGTTCTAGAATAAAACTATTTTTTTGTTAATTATTTTGACTTATCTTTCTTTTTTTCTTTTTCTTTTTCTTTGTTAGTACCAGGGATTGAACCCAGGAGTGCTTAACAACTGATTCACATCCCAAGCTTTTTTTATTTTTTATTTTGAGACACAGTCTCATTAAGTTGCTTAGGGCCTTGCTACATTGCTGATGCTGACTTTGAACTTGTGATCTTGCTATCTCAGCCCCCTGAGTCTCTGAGATTACAGGTATATGCATGCACTATGGCTGGCTGGACTTACTACTACTACTATTATTATTTTTTATTTATCTAATTATTTTTTGTAGAATCTTAAGTCACTGACTTCTTTTTTTAAACACAGCATTTAAATTATTGACTTTTCTCTCAAGAACTGCTTCAGTCACATTTCAGGAAATTTCTCATGTTGTATTATCATTATCATTTTGTTTGTAAAATTTTCTGATTTTCATTATAATTTCATGCCTTGTGGGTTACTTAGAAATATGTTGCCTAATTTCTAAATATTTGGAGGGTTCCTAGATATCTGCTGTTATTCTCTAGTTCCACTGAGGTTAGAAAGCATACTCTGTATGATTTAAATTCTATTCAATTTATTAAGTCTTTTCTTTTTCTTTTTTCTTTTTGTATGACTCATTATATGAGCCAACATGGTAAATTTACAATGCATTGAATGTAAATTTACAATTTTACATTAAAATATATTTTGTAGTTGTTGGGTATAGTATTCTATAATTATTATCTAGGTTGTAGAATATAGAATAATGACCCCTAAAGATGTAAATTTCCTAATCACCAGAATCTCTGCCTATGTTAAAGGAGAATTGCTGATGACTATAAATTAAGAATGTGGGATGGGGAAACTAACCTGACTTATTTGTTTGGGTCCGATAGGAACACAGTGATGTTTATAAGAGGAAAGGCATAGGATCAGAGAGAGGAAAAACAAAACAATGTGATGACAAAATCAGAAGAGTCTGAATATACCAAATTCTGAACTTTGAAAATACAGAGAAGGTCTTCTGGAATTTAGAAAAATGCATTATCCCACAGAGCCTCTAGGGGAAGCACAGCCCTGCTAGTTCCTTGATTTTTGACCCAGTAGAATCCATTTTGATGTTCTGTCCTCCAGAACTGTAGGATAATAAAATCAATAGTTTTAAGCCACCAATTGGTGATAATTTGTATAGAAGCAGTAGAAACTAATGCACAGGGTAAGGTGATTGATAGTGTTGTTCAGATCATCTCTAGCTCACTGTATTTTTGTCTGGTTCTCTCAATTGCTCAAAGAGGAGTGCTAAGTTTTAGAAGTGCATTTTTGTCATTTTTAATTCTGACAATCTTTGCTCTCTGTATGTGGAAGCTCTGTTATTAAGCACATACATATTTGTGTATTTACACCACAGACTCTATCTTGAGCAGCAAATAGTATCTCAATTTAATTCTCTTATGTTTCACTAGAGTTTTTCCCATCCATGCATGTTTTGGGGGACAGCCAGAGAAATATGGAACATATACAAACAATCGGGGCTTCTATTCTCTGGCTCTCTTCTTTCCAGGATCTCCACCTCAATTTCCAATACCTGTAGTTGCTCTTTTTACCAGGACCCTAGGCCTGCAACCCTGCTGATATTCTGAGAGGGTTTGGTTGTCCACCAACAGAGAAAATAAGTAAATGATATAAAAAGAAAATTTTAATTTAATCATAGTTTGCACAGAACTGGAAAGGTTGCTAACCTACTTTCTTCAGTTGTATAGGAATTCTATGATTTATAGAAAATCTAGTTACAGGTTAGTTCAGTAGTTTCTAACTACTTAAGCTTATGTTTCCTTTTAACTGTTTACATTGAATTGAACTTTGGTTTACTTATGTAGGAGATCAAGTGGTCTATTGAACTCCCAATTAATAATTTTTCAACAAATCTCATCATAGAGGTTCTACCCTCATTACTTATTTAATTACTTTGTAAAGGTCCCACCTTCAAATTCATCAAATTCCCAGTGTGATTTGAAATATGATTTGTGGGATGTAGGGAGCACAGACATTCTGTCCTCAACATATGTTAAAGGATGGTTACTTCAGTATCTGCATAACTGGGGAGATTGTAAAATTATGCAATTGTTTGTGCATAGTTATATATGTAAGCATCCAAAGGTTTCCAGGATAAGATGCAATTTGTAAACTTTGACTCTGGAGATGACAATTCAAAATTCCTCTAAATTAAAGCACACATTTTATAACCCCTAGTATTTATAAGGCTTCCATAATATTTTCTCTTATAAAGTAAGTCCTACATATAAATAAAAGCTGAATACAGATAGTTCCTGGCTTGCTATGGTTCAACTGACCTTTACCCTCTTCATTCTGAATGTTGGATATATCCACTGGATAATATGCCTCTATTAAAATATTATGTACTCTTGGCTGAAGGGAAAAAAAATCTCTTCTTCATCTCTTTTCACAGAGAGCACTGTCATCAGAAAGTTAGACTTGAGAATCTAAAAGAGTTCATGGAAAAATTTCACTCCCTCAATAGTCTATCATCTTTAGGACGGTATGGAAACTAAATGTATGCAGTAGACACCATGATTTGCATTTTGATATTCTCCCAGGGTAGCAATGTGCAGTGCAGTACTTTCTTGTGATGCTGGCAAGCAACAGGGAGCCTCAGTTCCTGGGAAGCACCGACACATGGGTAAACACTCATACTGTGTTGCCAATAAGCTATATGAACATTCAATGTATGATCATAGAATGGGCTTTACTTTCAATGGTTTTGCCCACCCATAGGCGAATAGAAGTGTTCTGAGCACATTTAACAGAAACTAGGCTAAGCTATGATATTTACCAAGTTAGGTATACTAAATGCATTTTTGACTTCATGATAATTTTGGCTTATAATATTTTCAATTTAATTTAATCCAGAGTTGAAAATATCTGGATATAATCTTATTATAAGATGAGAAACTTCTTTACCTTGAGAACTGAAGAAGAGAATCACTTTGTACAAATTTGAGCTCATCCCTGTAAGATTATTATCGTGGAGCAGAATTCAATAGGAGTTTATTTCCTGATGAAGGTAAATCCTAAAGCACAACACATCAAGCAACTGAGACCTTAAATTGATTCTCTTCTTCTGAATAGCCTAGAAATCAATGTCTTTCATAGATCCTGGTTCAGGTAGAGAGGGTCAGGGATAAGCTAGAATGTCCAAAATTTCCAAGTGAGAGTATAAAGGCTACAAATGTGTACTTGCTAGACCTAATCCTGATTCATTCATTTATTTTATTGAATTAAATTAATCTTCTCTTTGAATAATTGCATTTAAATTTTATAATCCTTACAAGGAGAAGATTAAGTAAATTACATTAATATTAAAAAGACATAAAAATATTTTATCTTTTTCTCAATAACTTAAAAAAAACTTGCTTCTCATGTGACACACATCATTCCTTAAAAATAATGGAATATCTGTCCAACTGCAAATTGTTTTTCTTGGCTGGAATTTAGTACAGGTTGCAATGGCCTTTCTTCTCTGCCAAGAAAAATATATTAAAATTAGTACTTTTTAAAAAACTTTGAACTTAATTAAAAAATGGATTAAGACAAAATAAAATCAGCCTAGAATGTAGTAAAAATCAGGCTGTGCTAAAAAGTACAGTTTGGGGAAAGTGTACAATTTATTCTTCAGTAATAGTTACTACTTTATGAGCCTCTTCATTTACTTAGGCTAAATTATGAGTGCTATCTACTGTGGGTGTCTGAAGAATTTACTGTGATAGATGCCAGATAACCTCATTTTGATTTCATTTAAATTATTCTTAGGGTTGCCCTAAGCCAGTAGGAAAATGAAGACTTGTAATCCTATAAATATCTAATAATTATGATTTTTGAGAAATATACATCCTGGAGCAAGTGAAGAAATGCTGTGCTGACTTGGTGATGAGATATAGCAGGGCCCAGGATAAAGCCTGCAGGATGTTTTTACATTTCCTGCACTGCTACATCCTCTGAATTTTCTAGAAGTACTCCTTAGGCTAAGCCATCCTGGTAAATTCTAGTAAGTACCTTGCCCCGTAATTGATAGACAGTTGGTAATCAATATATGTCATTTGTCTTCCTCCAGATTTATGTAATTTAATCAATTTAGTCACTGTTAAAATAGATATATTAAAATATTTGTTCTACACTGAAGATATATAAGAATAAATTTTATTTAAAGTAATTTTAATAAGCAATATTATGCAACTGTGAGTAAAAACCTTACCCTTAAAAATGACATGAAACAGCCAGCACCAGACTTACAAGAATCAATAACACACCTTTGAGAATATTCCCTAAAGAAATACTCACACAACAGTGATTCATTACAAAACTGTAATGTGCTGTTGAATAACTACTCAAATTTGGCCCAGCATTCTTCACATGAAGTGAAATCTTTGCAGAAGATGAGCCAGGTGACTCAAATCAAAATTTCTGCTGAATCATGAGCCTGCTGCTACTGTTGTTTAGAGGCCTTCTGACAATTTTCACTTTACTGCAAAAAAGAAAAGCCATTTTTCACACAAGTCAGAAGCCACAGGGGCAGCAAGCTAGTAGAGAGTAAAATATGAACATATTTTTTGCTTAAGCTTGTCCTATGAACATTTTCAACTCATTTGTGCAAGGCAGATGTATAGGCTATGCACTTTTTTTTTCTATTTTCTATGCTTTTCACAACCTCAGAGGTGAGTTCAGCTTACCCATATGTAGTTATATTCTTACCTGCACATTATTTGAGGAGAAATATTCACCATTCACACTTCAAATTTCTGAAATAATATCAACCACTTTTTTTTGCATTTGTTTTGGTGCAATAAAAAATTTTCATTTACATTTAATGGTTCCATCAACAAATTGCAATGATCTTTTAAGCTGAATTTCAAACCTGACCTTCATTTAATGAAATTATGCTTCCTGTTTTGTTGAGATCCACAGCCTTAGCAGCCCCAGAGAACTTCCAGCTGTGAGCTGATTGGCTCCTCTGTGGTGATGCTCATTGGGCTGTTTCCCCATCTTTTCAGAACACAGAGCTGCTCATTGAGGGACTCTTTTGGCTCCGCCCATGAGACCCAGCCAATCATCCTCAAGAGTGGAGAAGTGGGGGTTGAGAGGCTCTCCAGAAGCCAGTGGTGGCAGTTGGGCTCTGAGGGAATTCTGGAAGAATTCCTGTGGTGCAGCGTGTGTGTTCTAAAAATAAAGTTCTGTTCTGCTTGACAAGTGGCTTGTGAATTGTGCCCAGCCAGACTGTGGCACTGTTTGGCACTAGAAATTTTTGTCCCCATTTCCGAAACCACTTTCCATCACAGTCCTCAACTAGGACAGAGAAGAGCCTGGGAGACTTCAGGGCTTCTCTGGGATGATCATTGCTCCCCTTAAAAGGAGGATTTTTCACAGACCCAGAAGTCAAGAATTTTGCCAAATAAAATTTCTAGGAATCTTTATGATACCTAAGGTGATTTCAGAGTAGTCATAATTGTTACTAGTAATTTTTAACCAAAGACATTATAGAGTCCTCTTTTGGTTTGGGGTTTTGACAGATTGTACACAAAGAACAGTTTTCCCATTAAGAAATATGTGAGACATAAAACAATTACATCAATAACATATAAACATTTTCCTAACATTATACTTTTTAAGTTGTAATAAATGGATATGAACTATTTTAGACTAAACTGTACCAAAAAAAGTAATATTGGTCAAAGAAGAGTAAAATATAACGACTAGAGAATATTGAGTAGCTTACTTGAGCAGAAGCTCTGAAAACCCATAACTAGAAGAAACACTTAAAAGGATGAGTTCATGCTAGGGGCTCATGGGGTAGACTAGTTTGAGAGTTAAAATCTTCTGTTATCCTGTCTAAGGAGCTGCCTATACTTTCATGGGTTTACCTCCAAAAGCCCCAACAGGTTCTTCAAATATAAATAAGAGAGCAAAAAAAAAGTCTTGAATTTGGCTGGAGAGAGGTAGAATATACCCATTTTGAAAGAAGCCCAGAGAGTCCTCACAACAAAAGCCTGCCCAGCAAGGAGAAAGACTGCACAAACAGGACTGCCTAACCCCAGCTTTCTCTAGCTTTCCTGTCTTACCTAAGGGGAGAAATAAAAGGCTATTAAGGACCCATGAAGGTCACAGCCCCAAAGAGAAATTTTGGAAGGTGGATGATGGATTAAAATTTAGGTCTAAGTTTTAAGCAGCTATGAGACACCTAAGTGCAAGTATCTAGGCAGTAAGTTTGTATGCATAGGATCTCAGATAAGGAATAAAAGTAAATATATTCACTTGGGAATAATCAGGATAAAGATAGTAGAGAATACTGAGTCCACTGAACCATCCAGCTGGTATGATCATACAGGGCAAATGGTGGAGTAAGAAGTTGAGCATGTGAGGGTGGAACCTCAGGTGACACCAGCTCTTCAAGGACTTACAGAGGAAAAGAGTTATATGGAGATCTAATAAGAGCATTATGTGGAATAAGAAGCAAGAGAGCCTGTGGGAGATGAAGGAAATTGCACAATATTATTTTCATACTTGTTGATGGATAAGAGGCAAATTGAGGGTATGATTAAGAGGCAAGTTAAAGATAGTATAGAGAAGGAAGAAAACACTAGAGAGATATGAAGATGTCAATGAACAAAGATTTTGCCTGAAGAGTGTGATATGATTGTGAAGTTTCAGTTTATGTGATGCTGAATGTTTCCTTTCCAATGAAGAGCTATATAAGAACAGAAATTAAGATGGTTGAAGTTGTAAGGACAGAAGAACTATAAGCCAGTAGTGGACCCTGCATTGATAATGACACCACTGAGGAAAAAAAGGAAGAAGAATGTAATATTGGGAGAGTTGACACAGTTATGATATTTGTAAAGGACATAATAACAGATGTAATAGTTAGGATCAGAAAAAAAGAATACTCTCTTCTCATTTTTCTTACGTAAGTGACTGAATTTCCAGCCTACAACCATGTCTTTTAAATAATGTTATATGAATAATTCTCATCCTGAAATTTATAAAATTGCTTAAAAACAGAGTGTTTTTTTTATATCAATGGGTGGCTTATATCTTGTGTAAAACATCACTCAAAAAATGAATAAGGACCAGAAATGTTTTTCATTATTCTAATTTTCTTAAGTATCTTCCCTGTGATTCAACTGATAAATATTTTGAACTTCAGGGAAAATAAGATTATCTCTTTGGTAACAAATTAGAACTTCTTATTTGATAACAAAGTGATGTGATCCATCTTAAAAAGTAAAATTTTGAGGAAACTTGAAAAGGAAATTTTAAACAAAATCATTTAAAAACAATTGTAATTTTCATATTTTCACTGAATTATTATGTTTAACTATACTTTGAAATGAAACATATTCATACTCAGACAGTGTGTGGTAGTCATTTTTTACAACATTGCCATAAACACTAGTTAGCAAACACTAAACTACTGCTTCTAAGGGAAACACAGGTGTGGTCCTATGAATTTCTAGTCACAACATTTTTTATGTTTATGTTTGTTTCTTTTTAGACATCTTATTAAATATATATAATTGATGTATTAACCTTGAACTCATTGCTAAAATATTTGAATTCATGGCTGAATGAATTATTTAATGTATATTTTCTCTATGCAGTATATGACAGCCTTCTTATACCTAGAAAACATTAGACAACAGTTGAATGCTACATTTGGGAGCCCTTTTAAATTACAAAATTGCCAATAAAAAAGTATAAAAGACCACACTAAGGACATTGGTTTATCCTGATGAAAGATAAAACAGGAAAGAAAACATCACCTTGTTTATCATGCAACTCAAAATTTTTGCTACTGTACATATCCATGAATTTGTGAGAAAGCATATGGAGAATTGTTTGGGGTTACAAAGAATTTTAATGAATGAACAAAATTGCACATATGGGATCCATAAATAGAATATGTATACATATATATGCAGCATACATATGTGTAAATAAACATATATGTAGAATCAATGTTCTATTTGATCTCTTTTCAAAATTTTTTTGGCTTAGTGAGTTCATTTGCTTATTTTTTCACCAAATATTTTTAGCGAATTTCCTTTCCTTTCCATGTGTCCTGGTTACTTAAGTCAATAACTAGGAATAATCGTTGACTTTATCCATGTCTCTGAATGCAATGTATCACCAAGAATTCATTAGAATATTTGGGATTGTATGTAATAAGATTTCAACTTGAATTAGTTTAAGCATAGAGTATAATTTATTTTAAGGACTGAGGAATGATTCATGGAATTTTTGGAAACCAAGATAAAAATCAACTGGGCTTTAACATTGATCTGGAACCAAGGATTTGACACTATTCAGCCTATTTTTCTTATTTCTAATTCTGTCTTCACATTCATGTTCTTTTTGCCTTTCATTAGTTTCCTGTACAGTGAATATAACAGAATATAGACACTCAGTTTATTGAACAAACAAAATTTGTAGATTAGATGCCATGTTTTTTCACCCAGATCAATTTCCAAAAAACCATGGAGTATAAATTTTGTGGTTATCAGAATGTGTCAAACTGCTTTTGAATGAACTTTCTAGAACTGAATGTTTTTCATCAGGCAGGATGAAATTTATTGAATGAATATAGCATTAACAGGTTTTCTTTGTAACCATATTTATAAAACCATATTAACTTGTATCAACTGTGACCCTGAAATTACTTATAGGATAGTTAGACAAGGAAGTTGTTAAATGTACTATAACATATAGGTATACTTCTGCTACACATACTTAGCAATGACACAAATAATTTTTGATTATTAAAAATAACTCAGAAGAATTTTTAATTAATTAATGTTTTTATTTATTTTGCCATCAGGGATTGAACCCAGGGCCACTTAACTACTTAGCCACATTCCCAGCCCTTTTTCATATTTTTTATAGAGATAGGGTCTTGCTTAATTGATGAGGCTGCCTCAAATTTATAATCCTCCTGCCCCAGAATCCAAAGATTCTGGGATTACAGGCATGCTTCATTGCACCTGGCTAGAAATATTTTTTTTCATTAAAATAAACTATGAAATAAAAATGTATAATTTCCTAAAATCTTTATTTAAAGAATATAATTTAATTTAAATATACCTTAGATTAGGATATACTTTTATTTACGTACAAAGAGCTAAAATTGTATATGGTAAAATTCTGAAGTGAAAAAAGGAATAAAGTTTTAGATATAATAACATTGGCTAATTTTACATAACAATTTAAACTCATTATAATAAGTATAGATACTTTGCATATAAATGAATTAAAGTATAAACTTTTCTCAAATTTAGTCATCTAAATTGTAGGTCTAATTATGCACTTTGGTAAACTGAATTACTATGTAATTCAGTTAGTGCATTATTTGTGTCCAATTTATGCACACACATATTTATATCTATACCCCTATCTCAGGTTGGTTTCTATAATCACAGATTCTCCTCTTATTAATTTAGCTACCTAGCCATTGTAGGTATGTGGTAAGAGAATCAAGCTAATGTAAATATTAACATTTATAAACATACACATACAAAAAAAGTACCACTTAGCAAGTAGGTTAGTAATTTCTATATGATTGACTCCTTATTCTGTCCAATTATGTAGATAAATTAAAAGGTTATTATCAAAAACAAGTTCAAATTATTGATATTTGTCCATACTCCCACTCATCAACATGCCTAAAATTCAGTACTTATGAATGAGCTTTACAAGTTATAACACAAGCTTTTTTCTACCACCCATATAAACAAACATTATCTCTAATATTGAATGACATCTTTCCACCAACATCTTTCACATTGTTAAATATTGTTTTATAATTAATTTTCTCATGGGTGACTCATGCCAGTCATTTCAAGTAGAAGTGTGAAATTATAACTGTGCTTAGAGAAAGAATTTTTACCAAAGGAGAATTTAAGCAATATTTGCAAGTG